GTCATGAAGGCTGTCTTTTTGGCGTCTTCCTCATGCATGAAGATCTGATGATACCCGCGGAATGCGTCGAGGAATGACGTGATTTCACACCCCGCGGTCTCATCTACAAGTTGGTCGATATTGGGAAAAGGAAAAGGGTCCATAGGGCACGCCTTGTTGAGATCCGTGTAGTCCACGCACATGCGGAAGGTAGGAGGCTTCTGTGCGAGGACTACGTTCGCCAGCCATGAGGGGTATTTTACCTCCTTGATGTGCTTAATAGAGAGGAGTATGGCGACCTCCTTCTTCACAAATTCCCTCCTTTCGGCGGAGAGGGGTCTTCTTCGTTGATGTACTGCTTTCGCCGAGGGGTCCACCGAGAGGCGGTGGGTGATGACCCTTCGGCTTATTCCCGGCATGTCCTCCGGTCCCCATGCAAAGACAGCGGAGTAGGCGCGGAGGGCGTCGGTGATACCGGTCTTCAGATCTTCAGGGAGCTGGGCTCCAATCTTCACGGCTTCTCTCTGGCTTGGCCGGATCGAGCGCAAAGTCTTCTACGTCCTCGACTGGTTCAACCCTCGGCCTTTTTCCTTCTTCGTCGATGGTTCCGGTGATGGTGTCAACGCGGAATTCTTTCTTACTTACCCTCTTCGTGACTTGAAGATAGCAAGCGCGGGCAATTTTCTGATTCCCCCGGGAGTAGCCAATGCCCCCCTCGGCGGGGAACTTGAGGCAGAGGTGCCTCATGGAGATGATGGCCTCGAGGTCCTCGAGGGCTGGCCGGCCGAGGATGATGTTTTGGGCGCAGTCGATGTTGACGACGACGAACTCCACTTCGAGCTGGGCTCTATGGAGCCCGTCGCCGAAGATTACCGGGAGGGTTATTACCCCCCTCGGAATCAATAGTATCGCCGGTGAAGCCGGCAAGAGGGGTCTTAATGGGCCGAAGGGACCCCCTCTCCAGACGCAGCTCTCTAAAGGTGCTGAGGTACATTACATTGACGGAGCTGCCCATTTTAATGTAAGTTCGGTGAATGATGGTGTCGTTTATTTCAGTCCGAATCACCAAGGCATCCCTGTGAGGAGAAGAAGTAGGAGGGGGATCTGCGTTGGTGAAGGTGATGGGTTCCTCCCTCAGTCGCTTTACCGGGGGCATATGAGTGACTTCCCCCACGTAAAGCGATTGAGCCCACTTCTTCCGCTGGCTGGTGGAATCGCCCCCTGTATTGCCACCGGTGATCATGAGGATGTGGCGTTTTTTCTCCTGGTAGTGGGGGTACTCCTCCTCTTCCTCCTCCAAGTTTCCGATCTCCCTCTTCTTGGCGAGGGGGATGGTGTCCGGGTTCACGCAAGCGTTCACCTTCGTGTGGTGCCCTCGGGGAGGTCCCTGATGAGAAGGCCCCTCCTGCCGAGGGCTCTGGATAAACTGGGACAGATGCCCCGCTTGTATCAATCTTTCGATGGCCGTCTTTAGCTGATGGCAGTCATCGGTTCTGTGCCCCTGGTACCGATGGAAACGACAGTAGGGGAACTGAGGGTTGATAGCATGTACCTCCGGGGGTGCGCGAGAATCGTGCTCAACGAGGCCCCTCTCCTCGGCAAAATCAAAGATGACGCTGACGGGGTGCGTCAATGGTGTCCGGGGGCGGTCCAGGAGAATGGGCTGTGCCCAAGTCTTAGGGTTGTTCTTATAACCTCCCCCGGGCTTGGCTTGGCCTTGCCGAGGGCGGTTATCAGAGGGTCCTGAAGACTTGGTATGATTTGGAGGAGCCCCCGGCCCTCGGTCGTTCTTGTTGTCAGCCTTCGGGGGCTGCTGATCTGGATGCTGGTGGTATTTTTCTACCTCCTCGGCCTCGGCGTATCGGTCCCCCCGCTGCAGGGCCCTTATGTAGTCGCGGGGGGGGGGGGGGGTTCAATGATGAGGCTCCTTGAAAAGTTGCCGGTGCGGAGAACGGTTTGTAGGAGGGCCAGGAGGGTCCCCTCGTCAGCACCGTCGACTTTGTCGGCTTCCGTTCTCCAGCGCTCCAGGAAGTCCCGAAGGGTCTCATCCCTCCTTTGGCGTATGGTTAGGAGGTGGGAGAAGTGCTTCCTCGTGTGACGCCTCCCGACAAATTGTGTCAAGAATCGCTGGGCGAGTTCTTGCCACAGATCAATGCAGCCCTCGAGCAACCGGTTGAACCATTCGTATGCCGGCCCCTCTAAGGCTGAGAGGAACCAACGACACAAATATTCGTCTGACGCCCCTACCATCATCATGCTGTTCTGATATTTGCTGTAGTGTTCCTGGGGGTCCGTCTTCCCGTTGTAGGGCTGTATGTGTTGCCCTCGGTATTTTTCCAGGATCCGGGCCGCCAATACCCTTGGGGTAAATGGCGTCCGGGTCCGGAGCTGGATGACGGGTTCCCCGGAGCCCTCGGCTACCTTCTTCTGTAATTCCTCCATTTTGGCCATCATGGCCTCGTATTTGAGGTCTGAATGAGGGGTGGAGGTGGTGGCGTGAGCTTTGTTGGCCTCCATTTCATCGAGTCGGCGTTGGAGGGCCGCAATAATTTCGTCCCGGGGGTCCTTCGGGAGGGTCTCCGCCCCCTGCGAACGAACTCGGGCCGAGTGGGCCTGGTTGATTTGGTGGCGAGCATCGTCGGCGTGAAGGGGTGCATTGCCTTTTTCCCGAGGGGGACGCTCCTCGTCTGCCCTCGAGACAGACCCTCCGCTTTCTTGGGGCCTTTGGGGTGCTTTTCCTCCGAGGCGGTCTTGGACCCCTCGGCAGTCTTGCCCCCCTCCGAGCCGGTTGAGGGCGGAAGTGCGGGGCCTTTCTCTGTTGTCATTGTGGCGGTCCCGGGACTGGACTTCCTGAGAGGCCGTATCTTGGGCCACTACCCCTTCGTCATTCCTAACCCGAGGGATGGGGTTTCCGAAGGGATGTGGCAGAGGGGGAAGTATGATGTTCTCCCCAACCTGGGGTTGAGCCGGAGCCAGGGTGCCGAAGGCACCTGGGTTCTGAGTGAGCGTTTGGATGAAGGCGGAGAGCGCCGAGTGAACATCGATGGTGAGAACCGGGGGGCTGATTTGGTCATCGCTCCGGTTCTTCTTCTTGGCCTCGATGCCGAGGCGGGCATCGGGGGCATTCTGCTGGATCTGAAGGCGTAGGTCGACAGCCGCCTGTTCCAGCCCAGCGATGACACCGCCCTCGGGAGCCCTGTGAGAGGCTTCGGGGGCGTTGACGTCGCCGAGGGCCAGGTTTTTGTCTTCTACGTTTTTGGAGTTGGCACGTGTTGTTCTCACCATTTTGGTAGAGGGCTAGTGTTTGGCGAAGGGGGAGGGTTTCTTACTCGATTGTTCGACCTCTCAACGAGAGCACCAAATGATGGATAGTGTACCCGGGGGGTAACTTATCCGAAGGGTTGTTACGGGGAGTAATATGAGAGAAGTCGGAGCAAGTAGATATAGAGAGAGAAAGTATATTATAAGTGTGGAGCGTTTTCAGCGTGATTAAAAATGGGGAAAAGGGGTGCTATTTATAGTAGCAATAAATGCCGGACAGGGACACGTGTCAAGCGTCCATTGGCCGAGAGGTCACCTCAACTGGTCGGCGCTGGCAGCCGCATGTGGCCGCATTTAATGCGGCTGTTGGATGGGACGTTGTACAGGGTACGGTGATCTGTACGCATGTGGCGCGGATATTATGTCGGGAGAGGTGCCCTCGGCTGCAGAGGACTAGCCGAGGGCTCTGAGTGCCGGGGACCCCCTGGGTGCCGAGGGCTACTGTTTTCTGCCGTTTTTCTCCCAATTTCTTAGTTTGCTTAAAAAACCCGTTCTGTGAGAGTTTTGAGCCTTCGGCTAGGGGGCGAAGGCTCCCCAGTGTGCGGTGTGGGCTGCTAAGTGCTTGGGGCGCCGTAATTTGGGGCCTGTTGTGCTTCCTGGGCTGGTTGGGCCTTTATTGGTGTAGTAGGAGTCTGTGGGCCGGGGGTTCCCGGGCCATATACTCCATCACTTAGTATTGTCATCAACTCATCAATGGTGAATAAATGATGCAACCACTTCAAATCATACAAATAACACATGATTACTAAAGTAAAAGACTCTTCATTGTTGTAAGTGCATATGTTGATCCAGCCTTGCATATAGGGTGATTAGTTTCAAAATATTGTAGAGTAGATACCATGATAAGTGTGAATATTGATAATGTCCATGATAAGTGTGCAATATTTAGCAGATTTAAAAAAAACACTTTTAGCAATTATTTCAATCTATTGACATTTATTGAAATTAATAAGGATGTTGGATATGGGGTCATCACAATCCTTGAGCTCAACATCATCACGACCTGCATTAAGTGATGATAAAGAAGTTGGAATTGTCAAGATGTTGTCTGAACTACAAACTACTAAGGAGGTATATAATCATTCAATTTATTTCTGAATTTCAAATTCTCGCATTCTTTTACGTATGTAAATCATTTTCATTTGTTAACAATGTACACTTGGAACAGATTCGTGGGTTGTGGTTTTATGGGAAGATAAACGCTATTCTAAATGCTACCAGTTGGGCTTATATGGGATGCTTCAAAAGGTCATATTTAGTGATAGCCTCCAACACAGTCATATTTAGTCACAAGTAGATTCTTAATTAATCATTACATTTATTTAGATATTTAGATATCTAAATAAAGAAATAAGATTTTGTTTGGCATGTTGTACAACTGCACTCCCCCCCCCCCCCCCCCCCCCCCCCCTTGAAATTCAAAAAAGTAAATTCATACTTATTAATTAGTTGTAGACCATGACAGGCTGTTGCCTTTTTTTAAACAACTAAGCTATTTAGATCCTTTTTATACAATTGAAACAGAAGGCTTTGTATTACAACTTCCGTTTATTTTATAATTAGGATTTCATAATAATATATTTTTTGAAACTAAAGTTGATTTCCCCATTCACTTTAGGTCATGTCGTGCAAGAGCTATAAAATGTGATAATGAATTTGAGTGCACGAAGTGCGGAGTGCGGTCTTCTGAAGAAAACTGGCTCTACAAATTGAAGCTGAACGTTGTGCATGGTCGTCACAACGCTGAGCTGCTATTCTGGGATCAAGCATGCAAGCAATTTTTGGGAAAACCTGCGTCCGATTTTCGTGAACATCTGGATGATGTATGTATATAACAAGTATTAGTTTTGTTGCTTTGATTTCCTATGTCAAAACTCCATGTGCTGGCTGCATGAATGTATCTATAAATGCTTTAAAGTATTTGTTTCTCTTCGTTTAGGTCAAGTTTAGACCTCATAGTGCTCCTCCATTGTTCTACGACTTGGTTGGGCGGGAGTACTTATTCAAAATTGAGAGAGACATCGCGAGTTTAGATGGATCCGATGCTGCGTTTTGCATAAGCATGACAACAGACAATAAGGAAAAGATTGAGCAGATTAAGTCATCCTGGAAAGATGAACCAGAGCCAGAGGTACTTCATTAGTCTTAAATATCATAAAGTATTTTTTTAATAGAAGATATAAAATAAGATTCATAAGTTCAAACAAATACTCCCTCGGTATTTTAAAGTTCCATACACTTTCCATTTTGGGACGTATTTAAAAGTTCCATACACTTACCCTTACTTTTTCCACTTTTTATCATCTCTTTCCTCCTTTTCACCATATATCCTACTTTTTCTATACTATTCATCACCCCTACTATTCTCCCTTAAATCTTGTGCCATAACCTAACATAAGGATCTTTTAATTACGGAGGGAGTATGAACTATACAATTGTGTTGAACTTACAACGGGGTGAATGCAGGCTGAATATAATTCTGATTCATATCTTGACTTAATTCTTGAACCTCGAACTACGGTAGAATCCAACTTGGTAAGTTTGAATACTCACAACAATTGATTATGCCTACGCAAATATAAACCCAAAATCTATATAAATCATTATACAATATTTATTATGTTTTCATTCAGACACCAACATCACCTGAGCATGACCAAGGGCAGACTCCAATTTCATCCTCAAAGAGAAAAACTGAGGATATAGATGGTAGCAAAGAAATCTCAGATGATAAAACACTGGGGTCTACAAATAAGAATAAGAAGTTGAAGGAGGTCAAAAAAGAGAAACTTTGAAGTTCGCCATTTAGAAAACAAGGTTTTATGTTTTGTTTGATTATTCGTATTTCTGCATTCGCATTTCCTCCTAAAGACAATTTTTTAAAGTTGTGATTGTGCCGTTTGTTGGCCTTGAATAAGGGAATTCCTCCCAGTTGAAGACAAGCTTTGATTTTTTTTGCCTTTCAATTACTTCTAATATACGAGAGTAAAAAATTGTGTGCTACTTTTTTCATTATTTCTCCAATTCTAATTTGTTAAAAAATTGTTTATAATTCTAATTTGTATTCTATACTTTTTGGAAATATGATTTATAGGTTTTGCTTTTCCCATATTGCATTTCCATGCTACTTAGATTTTATATTTCAAAAATTAAGTATTTTCTATTTCAAAAATTAAGTATGTTACAAACTGGTTGTAACATAAATAAGAAAAATTGGACATGTACATATTTTTAATAAAATTAGGAGAATAAATAAAAATTGGAAATAATACCTAATTGTGAATTATATGTAACACAACATTACATTTTAAAAATAGAGGAATTGATATGTAAAAAATCAAAAAGTTTCAAAATCTACAAATGATTAGAGCCACAATATCAACTATTATACGGAGTAAATATCAAAATGTATAGTTAATATAGTGTGTTTAATAAATATATAAATACATTAAAAGGAAAACATATTCTTAGAAAAGTATTCCCATATTAGTCTTACTTTGAGGATTAGCTACACAATGACAATGAACAAAAGTTAATGGTAATTCATAATTGTTGGAAGCCGTGAGTGTCTTCTTATGTTATTCTCTTTTTACGCATTCACCATTGCATGTTGCAATTCTAAGAGTGACAAAATATGTGTGGCTTGAAATTTATGATATGTGAAGGTGAAAGAAATTCGAAAAAAACTATAAAATGATGTTGTTTACATGGAGTTTTCAACAACATATAATGTTTGCATATATTAAACTTTTTATAATTGCTACTACATATTATTTATTTATCTCATTCATAAATGCATTTATACAACATTTAACTACTACTAAATATCTAAGTATGGAGTATTACATCCCGTGCAACGCACGGGTGGAATACTAGTTAACATATTATTTGATAATATGTTTTAGCATCCTGTTTAAGTAATTTAATACCTCATTAAATGTTCCCCATAGATTAAAATTTAAGTCTTATCTGAGATAATGACATCACCCATCATAATTAAATTAGTAGAAATATTTTTTCGTCGAAGAATATTTCACCCAAGTGTTTATTCCATTCGACAAAATATATAACTAATTTATAGATACATATGTTTGTGATCGTGTGATGGTTTTTGACTTACTTAAATTAGCTCGAGTCGCCCAAGCGTCAGGGTTAATTTAGGGTTGTCGATCAATTAAAATTTGATCAACCAAGAATTGCTTGGACGCAATTGGTCTAGGGACTTACCCATTATATTATTGCAGTGATCAGCCCAAGTTGGGACTGTAATAGTATGAATGTGGATCTTGGTCACTATGATTGTGAAAACAATCTATGTTCTTTTTATTGGGGTCAAAGAGCATGAAAAATAGTGGGAGCTAAATAATTAAAAGTCCATATTATTTAGTTAACTAAATGTGATCATAGGAATTATTATATGAATTTTAATTTCCGTTCTATTTGAACTTCTTTAGGCTTTTAGAAATGTCGAATTTATCATTGAGAAGTATCTTGGATACATGCAAGCTTACTGGAGCAAATTTTCTAGACTGAGAAAGAAATGTGTGTTTAGTTCTTAGACAAGAAAATATTGAGTATGTGTTAGACACACCGGTACCCAAGATTCCTGATGTCAACTCTCCTGAGTTTGCCACGTTTGACCTGACTGCTCGAGAGAAACACGTCACTGATGCTAAAACTGTGCAATGTATTATGTTGGCTGCAATGTCTATGGAGTTGCAAAGGCAACACGATAGGATGAGCGCCTTCGAGATGCTTGAACATTTGAAAAGTCTGTTTGATTCAGAAAGTCAGACTCTAGAGTATGAACTTCTGACAGACATTTTCAAGTGTAGGCTTCAAGAGGGTGGCAACGTGTCTGAGCACGCCCTCAAAATGATTGGCTTAATTGAAAGAGTTGCTACCACCGGAATTAAGTTTGAGGATCGTGTCTCAGCTGCTATCATCCTATATTCGCTTCCGAGTTCATTTACTAACTTCATTGTGAATTATAATTTGAACAAAACGAAAGCGACCATGCCTGAACTCCATAACATGTTCAAGTCTTATGAAGCCTCAACCTCTAAAGGAAAGACTGTTCTTATGGTAAGCTCTAATGCTAAGTCTCGTTCTAAGAACAAGAATAAGCAAAAGAAGAAAGGTAAGGTTGGACCTACTCCTACAGCTCTGAAGCCTAAAGGTGGAGGTCATATGAAGCCAAAAGTTGCAAAGGATGTTTGCCTCTACTGCAAAGAGAAGGGGCATTGGAAGAGAGACTGTGAGCTGTATAAGGCTAATCTAGCCAAAGCACCGTGTGCTTCAAGCTCAGGTATTTTTATCATTAAATAAATATGTCTATAACTAACTCTCATTGTTAAAGTATTAGATACAACTTATGGCTTACACATTTGTAAAAATGTGCAGAGGCCTGAGAAGCAGTGTAGCAGTTGGACTGGGTAAAATTGACCTACGCGTGAAGGCTGTAGCAAAAGTTGCTGCTGAACGTGATAGGATCTTATAGTTTAGATTTGCCCAGTGGTTTTAGATTAGAATTAAATAATTGTTATTTTATTCCTTCTATTACCAAGAAGATTATTTCCATTCATATGTTAGACATTAAAAGATTTCTATTTCCATTTTGCTAATAATAATTGTTATTTTCATAAAATGGTGTTGTTGTGGAAATGCTTTTCTTATGAATGGTTAATTATCAATCGACATATTAGATATTAAATGAATAAAATAAAAGGATCTCGATTAAGTAATCAGAAAAATTACTACCTATCTATGACATTGCAAACTTTGTCAAATTAATGAAACAAGAATAGCAACGTTAAATGAATTAGATTATTTAACACCATTTGCTTTTGAGTCATACGGAAATTGCGAATCTTGTCTTTCAAGCAACTTGACTAATAAACCTTTTCTAGGAAAAAGGATAGCAAGCCAGAGAGTACTTAAGTAAAATTTCTGATTTATTTAAAAGGTCAAAGAATTCGGTCATAATGAACTCCTCCAGAACACCTTAGAAGAGTGGCGTTTCTGTAAGGAGAAATAGGGCTTTGTTAGACATGGCTAGATCTATGATGAATTCATTTTCTCTTCCAAACATTCTTTTGAGGGTACACGCTATAAATCTCAATATACATTCTGAATAGTTTGATTAGTGCAAAATGTACTATATGAGTTATAGTATAATAAAAGACATTTTCTTCATATATTAAATATGGGTTGCCCTTCATATGTAAAGAAATGTGCACTAATCAAATTGAAAGCTGAAGTAACATAGAGAATGAAGATTTGTTAGATGGTCTGACGAAGGATTCAGTGGGAGAATTGACTTGAAGAATGTCTCTAGGAGGATATCCTTCAGCTAGTGGGAGCAATATAGGAATCACCTCGCACCAGCAAATGGTTCTTATTAAAGATAAGATGACATGGTTGTCATTCCTTCTGCACCCACTTCTCTTTCTCTGGAAACACTTAAAAGTGTAGCACTAGAAAACTCTCTAAGCATTGGATAGTCCAATGAAAGAGAACCTCTTCACGATCAGAATGAACAGCCTGAACAAAACGCAAAACATTCAACTCTGCGGGTCTACTAGGATTCATCATGAACTAACTAGGTTAGGCTTCCTCATGGAGGATCATGATGATGTTAAGATTCCTGATACGGATGAACCTGAGACCTACATAGAAGCAATATTAGATGTTGATTCATAGAGATGGCGAGAAGCCATAAAATCTAAAATGGACTCGATGTGTATCAATCAAGTATGGAACTTGGTTGACTTGCCTGTTGGGTTAGACCCATTGGATGCAAAATAATTTTTAAGGAGAAAATTAATGCTGAAGGCAAAGTGAGAACATACAAAGCTAGGCTAGTGGCTAAAGGTTATAGTCAAAGAAAAGGAATTGACTTTAGTGATACCTATTCACCAGTTGCAAAACTCAAGTCCATTTTGATTTTGCTTGTTATAGCTGCTCAATATGATTATGAGATTTGACAAATGGATGTCAAAACCCCTTTCCTTAATGGAAACCTCAAGGAGGAGGTGTACATGGTACAGCCTGAAGGTTTTATATCCATATCAAATTCTAATTCAATATCTTAATTAGAGAAATCTATTTATGGGCTAGAACAAGCATCTAGGAGTTGAAATATTAATTTTGATGAAAAAGTCATATCATTTGACCTCATCAAATGAAATGAGGGTGCTTGCGTGTTTAGAGTGCGCAACAAGGATAGCATGGTCTTTATAATCATATATGTTGATCATAGAGAATGATATCCCCTCATTGAAGTCAGTGAAAGAATGGTCACCAAAAATCTTCATGAATATCTTTTGTCTATGATAGACAGAAAGAACTAGTAGAATTTAATTATTCTAGCACTAGTTTCATGTATGATAAGAAAGACTACGAGTCACATCCAGTATATGTTTTTAGTCTCAATGTAATAGTAATGCTGCAAGAGTTGCAAGTAAGAAACTGTTGTAAATTCGACAACTAGAGCCTAGTAAATTGTTGCATTTGATGCAACATAGGTAAGCGTTTAGATACGTTAGTTCCTTAAGGAAATAGAGGTAGTTCATAGTGACAGTTATCCAATAATTGTTATTGTGACTGTGTCGGTGCATTTGCACAAGCTAAGGAACCAAGATGAAAAGTAAGGAACTAGAAAATACCAGTATGCTATCGTGTTTGATAACAAATAGCAAGATGAGAAGTTGCAATAGAATGCCTTCCCGTAGAGGACAAATTTGGCTGACCCATTCACCAAACCTTTGAGATGTGAGAAACATACTAGACTTTTGAGAGTCTAGGTGTTAGACGCATCACTAGTACAAAAAAAGCTTTTTACATCACTCTTTTTACATGTGTTATC